CCTGTTGGCTCTCTATAGTTTATAAACCCTTTAGGATAGGGACCCTCTTTGTCCATTGTTATAAAACCCTCAGAGCAATAAGGTGCTCGTCCAAAACTGGGGTTCCTAATTGCAGCAGTAAAATGTAGATAATGTTGTAGATAGTACCCATTTCTTTCATCTGCATCCAGCGTGTGTAGCAGTATGGTCATCCTTCCAGCCCCCACCCTTTCGCACACGCAGCAAGCTCAGAGCTCACCAGTATGTCAGCTCTGCATGTTCTGTGAGCTCTCTTAGCTCACCAACTGGTCAGCATGGACTCTGGCAGAGCCCCTGCTTTCACACAGCTCCAGAGCCTGGGGTAGAAGGGACGAGGGGTGGGGGAAAAAGTGCTCCTGCTGTTTGCCTTTCTTCCTCATCCCTCCCCCTCCCTGAATTCATAAGCAGGGAAGAAGAGGGGATGAGCAATTGTGACACTTAGCCCCTGGGCCCTGGACCTGTGTCAAAGCAGGAACTGAGTGCTGCCACTGCTTGTCCCCTCTTTGCTCATTCCCTCCTTTCCCTTGCTGCTGAATTCAGCTGCTGGAAGGGGTGAGGAGTGGAAGAGGAATGGCAGCAGTGCTCACCATGTGAGCTCCAGAGCCACGTCAAAGCAGGACAGACCCTGTGAGAAGCAGCTTGTGATATCAAATAGCTCTGAGCTTGTTGACATCTACAATCATGGCAAGTGGGATACAGCCATCCTGCTCCCAAACACCACTCCCTACAGCCCCATCCCAGCCACCTGGCCATGCAGAGGGACCACACAGGGTGTTTTGGTGAGGTGTCATGGGGTGGGGTGGTGACCCAGCCCACAACAACTCAAAGCTCCCTATGTGGCCCACAGACCCAAATAATTGTCCACCCCTGGCATAAACAGACTTAACAAAGTATCACTACCAATTGGTATTGATATACGGTGTTGCAATTTCTGTGATAGGTTTGGTGCCTTAGCCACATACAAGTCTAACAAAACCAGTGCAGCATTAACCCTGTTGCATTCAGGGTTAAAATTACAGCAGTTTAGCTCATTTGTATTGCTGTAAGACTACAGGGACCTAATAGTTACAGCTGACCCATGCTCTTCAGTGCCAGCTTCTACCCATTTAAAGCGGTTTGCAGTTTTATCGGTCAATAGCCTCAGTTCAAACAAGAATATTCACTCCCTTTTCAGAGACCTGTTACAAAAAATATTATGATGTGATTAACTTCAGAACAAATTGTGCTAGATCTAAGATATTTTCTCCCTTTTACTGCTGATGCCAGGAGAAAAGATTAATATACTCAGTTGTCAGGAATTGCTACTCAATCTCTTTCCATCTGGGCTGATGCTCTGTCCTCCAGTTCCTGCAAGATCAGAGGAAGAGTTTCAGGATATCACTGGCAAAGCCCAGATGGGTTTGGTACTTCCTATAGTATAAGTACTATTGGTATGGAAGTTAGTGTCTAACAAGGGGTCAGTAGGAATGTTCAGCATGCATGAAAATCAGCTTGGTTTTTAGCATTTTAGATCCTCTTGCATGCCAAATAGATTCATGCCCTGCTTCCAGATGATAGATCGTTTGTCTGATAAATGCCAGCAGTAAGGTAAGTTGGTATATGTGCAGCCAACTTATTGCCATAAGTGTGTTTAAAAACTAAAACAACGAGGAGACAAACAGAAATGACAATTTTCACCTGATCTGGTCACAGAAAGTGGCCTATAATTGTGACCCAGCACAAGTGCATGGCAGAAGACTGCTTCAGAGATGGCTGATCAGGTTCAAATGAAGATGTTTCAAGCAGAGCATCTTCTGTAATCTGCCAGCCTCCGAGCTGGTTTCAGAATGGGAGGGGAGAAAGGGAGTGGAAGGAGTTCAGTCTGGGGTTTTTTCAGCCCCGGCTGGAAAGTGGGGAGGGTGTACTGGAGCCCCACCAAGGTTGGTGGGGGGGACTCCATTTCACCAACCCCACCCTCCAGCACTGGCTTGGGAACCCCTAAAATAAGCTCCTTCTGCTCCCTTTCCTCTCTCTCATTCTGAAAACAGGGACAGGCTGGGAGGGAGAAGGGGCCATTGCCAGGGGAAACCAGCTGCAGGCTGGCATCCAGCAGCTAGGTTCCCCCTCTCCCCTGGAAGCTACAGTGAACCTCTATTTGGTCAGGGGGGTCCTTGTAACTCAGAGCACTGCCTGCAAAGCATTCTCCATTACAGTGGGGAGCTGCACTTCCATCTGCACTCTGTGTTATTTTTTTTAATTGTTATAAAGCATGGTAATTTTAAAGCACTCCCTACTGGGGCATGGGCATTGCAAGGGCTGTATATGTACAGAACAGGACAATAGGCTGCTCAAAACAGAAACAATCTCATCAGGTGGAGAAGGTAATATGCATCAGGAAACACAGAGGAACTTTTCTGTCCTGGAATAAAATTTGTGCACACTTTCTGTCACCCTGCTGAGTCTACCTTCATTTGGAGTGTGTCTGTAGAGAATGCGGGGGAAAGGGTACAAGAGAGGCGTTTCCTTTGATGGGAGACCACCAGGAAAAAAATTAAAGTAACGAGAATGTGGAACTGGTTATTCAGTAGCACCAGTATTGACTCAATTGTCAAGACATACTTTGCTGTTCAGTGAGTCACATTTTGGAAAAGAATGAAAGCCAATAATGTTGATCATCTTTGACCCTTACAATGATGCGTGTGTGCGCTAATCCCAATGTCCTGACTAAATTCTAATGTGAGCATATTTTGCTTAACTCCTCCTACAGGTCCAATAGGGTTACCATACTTCCAGGTCCAACAAAGAAGATACCTATCACTGGGGTGGGGGGAGAGGGCAGGGGGAATATGATGGTGGCAGGGGAGCAGTGACATGCCAGTGCCTTGCCCCTGCCCATTCTGTTGCCCCTCACAGACAAGCTACACACCCCCCAGCCCTGCTGCTGCCCCTCACTCCCAAACAGCAGTACCCTGCCTCCCACCCATTGCTGGTGCCCCTCACTCCCAACCCGCAGCCCCCTGGCACTGCCAGTGCAGTGCACACCCAACCCACAATCACCTGTCCCATCCTCCATGCCCCTCACTCCTGATCCACAGCCCCCTGCCCCTCTCCCAGCCCTGATGGTGCCCCTCACTCCCAACCTGCAGCCCCTGCCCCCCCCAATGCTGCTAGTGTCCCTCACGCTGGACCCACAGCCTCTGCCCCCCCAGCCCTACTAGTGCCCCTCACCCCTGACCTGTAGACCCCTAGTACTGCCAGTGCCCTGCAGACCATCACAGTCACACCTCCTGTCCCCCGCACCCCTCACTCCTGACCTGCAGCCCCCTGCCCCCCCAGCACTGCTGCCCAAGTGAGCCCTCTCTCTCTCTGTACCTGGCTTGTTGGAGCCTGTGTGGGGACCACATGACCCCCGACAGCCAATCACCTTGCCCACTGCTCCCAGCTTGAAGCAGCCAGCCGGGGAGAGCAGAAAATCTGGACATTTGCTGTTATTTTAAAAACCCACCCAGACACAGCACAGGTGTCCAAAAAAGAGGACACATCCAGGAAAGCCCGGATGTATGATAACCCTAGCTCAATCATGCCAGGATTTTTAAATTATAACTCCAAGAGTGGTTAAGCACTGAAACAAGGTTGTGGACTCTCCACTTTCAGAAGTTTTCAAGTGTAGACTAGACAAACATTTGTCTGGCAGGTTCAGGGCTTGTGTACAGCAAGCAGTTGGACTAGACAGCCTCCTGAGGCTTTTTCCAGGCCTAATTTTCTACGATATTGTCTTTAACATTGAGCTTTTTTTAACGTATCAAATCACCTAGATATTAGACATGCTAAAGTTGGAGACAGACATAATATCTGAAGCATTTCAAATGCCTTTGAAGCGCTTCAAAGGGCAAGCTGCATAGATGTACACACCTTTTGAAGTGCTCCATACACTAACCCTGAAGGAAGCAGGTACTATTTAGAAATGCAGCACTTCCTCTTACATGTTTGCTCTGCGGAGTGTGATAGGGGAGCGCTGGGACCTCCAGTATCCCACAGTGTTCTTCTCTTCCCCTGCTCCACACTGGGCAGTGGCATTGTGTCTATGAGCAGTCTCCTATCCTCTCTGACTCTGCTCTCCAGCAAGGGAACAAAAGGCATGTGGTCTTCTGGTTCCATCAGGGAGAGCTGGGGGCACTTTGAGACAGTGGAGGCAGACAGGAGAGCACCCACGGGCATTAGTTTCCACCCCCCCCCCCAGCTTAGAAGGGAGGGAGGAGCCCCTGGGAGATCAGAGGTTATAGAGCTGCACTAAGTTTACTCGGCTTTCCCCCACAGCCAAGCCATAGAGTTCACCACTGCATACATCGGAGGTGATTTTGAAGCACCCCAGCTGGAGGCCGCATTGCAGAGGCTCTAAGTAAGTCCACAGCTGAAACTCTGCATTTTTTTAAAGTGGAACTGTAATCTGAACTACTTCAGATGTTATATCTGTTCCCACCCAACTGGGAGTGTCAGCTATGATATAAAAAATGCATTAGTCTATCATATAGTATACCACACTGAGCACCTTCAAAACAGAACAGAGATAAACAGACAGCGGTGATGCTAGAAGCCATGCCAGCCTCTACATATACACACAGCTCATGTTTAAAAGAACTTAGATCTGAAAACACACACAAAGGAAGTAATGCTCAATTGTTTTGTTTCCTGCATCCTTAAACTGAATAATCAACCATAACCAAACTTTGACATAGGATGGCACAACACAGAGTTGTGAGTGTCTTACAGAGCATCCAGGGATTGAGTGTGTAATGCTTGATTCTGTTCCCTTTAAACACAGTAGAAAAGCATCCAAAGATGCTTCAGTAAGACCAGAATAAGGTCATGCAGCTGTTACGGCACAGTCATCTGCAAACTGAAGAACACATTTTAGAAGTGTTTATACAATATCCTTCAAGGTTTTAACAAAGGAGGAACTCTAGAGTCAGAGAAAATGTGCATTGAAAAGATTATTGACTCACAGTTGCTAGTTTCTGAACATCTTCATCAGATGCTCCAAGTGAGGCTAGTCCTATCTCTTGTGAAAACTGGGCAAACTTGGGATCAGCAAGTAAAGGCACATGCCCCAGGAGTTCATGGCACGTATCTCTGACAGGAATAGAAATGAGAAGTGAACGTTACATACCTAGAAATAGCACTGCTATTACATCAATTAAAAACTCTGATAAAAGTCATTTTACACAATGATACTGAATTAATATTCTTACTAATTAACAATATACATACATTCAAATGTATCAACCCATATAAATATATATATTTGACCAAGACTAAATGCATGCCTTTTAAATAGATTGTCTTAAATATCCCTGTCTACCCCTTAACTTGATCACTGCTACCAAGTTGGCTCTGTAGGTGAGAGCCTTGCTGTCCTTTTGAAAGAGTACAAAGGAACATCCCAAGGAAAAGAAATCAAACTCTTTTGCACACACCTCACCAGGTGAATCAGATTCTACAAAAATAAAACCCCTCAACTCCCTTGGATTCAGCACTACAGCCTTGCATGCTGTTGTTTAGGGTTGAAGTACACAGCAGTAAAGTTGCCCAGTTTCAGTATGAATCATCTTGGTGGGCCCAAATGGTTACATGTACAAGAATAAAGAAGCTATGCTAAAATGCAGGATATCACTCATAAGGAGCCAAATTCACTGTCTGCTTTATGCCACAAGAGCAGTGGTTCTCAACTTTTTTAGCTTTGAGGTACCCCTCCATAACTTTTCTGAATTTAGTATTACCCCAGTTGAGAATCTTAGCATTTAAGTCTAAATTCAGAAAAGTTATGGAGGAGTGTTTTGAGGCTAAAACTTTTGAGAACCACTGAACTAACTACTGTCAGGTGAAGGCAGTGGAGACAGGACCTCACCCCACATGATCTCTCCACACCAGTTGTCCTCTCCCTGCCTCCAGCTAATAGCCAAGAGGGAAAGGGCAGTCCCCACTGTCAAAGCAGCTCCTCTAGGGTCTCATATGCCAGGAACCAGAGCCATCTGCCCTCACCGCCCCCTCTGCCAACCCTGGTGATGTCTACCTGTCCTTCTGCAGCAGAATACAATGCATTGCTCAGAGCACAGAGGCTGTATGGCAGGGGATGGCAGCAGTGGTGACAGTCCCCAGCAAAGCAGCCACAGGCACTGCTGGAGTAACTAGGATGGGTATGAGGTGCCAGACAGTGAGGAAGAACTTACGTCCTTACACAGAGGCTGGACACCACAACACACTTAAGAGGATCTTGTGGCACCCCAGGGTGCTATGGGACCAAAGTGATACAAAGCAGACAACCCTATGTTTATTGGTTCTTGAGGACTCCCCCATCCTAGAGAATCGACAGCAAAGTCTAGAAATTCCATGTCAGTTCTTCCTATTCCACCTTCCAAAAAGAGGGAAGGGATTTTGTTCCAGCTGCTAAAATGGCTCCAGGCTGGTCTACCTTACGAAGTACAGCGATAGAGTGCAGGATTAGGAGTCGACAGTTACTTTTGTACCCCAGTCTGATTATGCATCAGGCAGAGTTTAGCCAAGGGGAGATTCTGACCTGTTTCAAAAGGGCCTGGTATCTTACTGATCATGACTTTTTTTCAGTCCACAACTGGAAATGCATTATTAGTTATCACAAAGTGCAAATATAAGTTACAGACAGTGCACATTCAACATCTAAAAAAGCTCTCAAACAATTCTGAAAATGTTTAGTATATTTTCTTCCAAAAAATAATGGACATGGTAGTAAAATTCACCTTAAAATCTAATCTGACATTTCCTTTGCTTTTGTCTCCCTCAAAGACATTTCTTTTTTATTTGAGCTGTAAAGAAATGTTTTAAAGGAAGTGAGAAAACATCAAGTTTTTTTTATTTCCATCAGAAATCATCCCATTTGTCTTTTATAAAATATTTTTGTTCTAAATGACAGACCCCAGATAAATCACAAAAAAACCCTTCATATAATTTAAAGTCTCCTATTCTTACTACTCCTCACAAAGAAATGTGTGTCAACCGCCCTTCAGTAAATCATACTTCGTTTTCATGAAAATTGTTGAAATTTTTGTCACTCTCCCCTCAAAAACTCATGAAACCCCAACTGTATTTTCCGGGGGTTAGAAACATATCCCTATTATTATCCCAGACATCCTCAGATACAACACCACAATCTTAGTTGGTGAAGTTACATTGACATTGGCTCACTCACTACTGTTCTTTCATACTATGACAATCAATCATCGCCAGCTGTTGTATCTAATATGACAAATATATATGGCAAAATATTTATACAAAAGAATATATTGATTTTTCTCACATTTTATTTGCGTATGTTTTGCAATAACAACATGACTATAATACCATGAGTATTATGAATTTTTTTGTACCCTTAATATCAAACAACATCCATAGTTGGAGCCATCACTTATTGCTTCTTCCAAAACCTGTCCACAGACCAGCGAGATCTCCCTGCCAAGGGAATGATATCCAGATTCTTCTCCTGCAGGAAAGTTGTGTAAGGGGTGTTGCTTTGAAATATTCCTTTCCTCTTAGCAATACAGTGATTTCTATAGAACAAACTAGACATTGGGGAAATGAGTATGAACTCAATGTCCCCAGCACCCTGATTGTGATGCAAGTTGATTTCCATCCTTTAGCATGTCTGGAGGTCATCTGTGTAGAGAACGTGGACACACTCGGTCTATACTCAACAGCCAGATAGTAACTGATAGCTACCAGCTGGCCAAAACCAGTGAAACATTAGATCAGTATCATAATTTAAAATGAGGTTGTCAAGGCCCTGATCAAACTGCCCATTCAGTAAGATGCAGTGTTTTAGTCCCACTAAGCTACATCCATAAGTTCCCTTCTACAGCAATATCTTTTCTTTGGCCTCTCTGTCATGGTTTGTGGGCATGGATTAGGGACAGAACAATCCAGTGCACCCATACAGGCTGGGGACTGACTAAGCAGCTACTCTGCAGAAAAGGCCTTGAGGGTTACAGTGGACAATAAGCTGAATATGTACCAAGAGGTGCCCTTGTTGTAAAGAAGGCCAACAACATACTGAGCTGCATTACTAGAAGTGCTACCTGCCAGCAGATCAAGGGAAATTATTCTTCCCCTTTATTTGGCACTGGTGAGGCCACATACGGAGTACTGTGTCCCATTTTGGACACTCCCCATCCCTTCCCCCCCCCCCCCCACACT